TAATAATATTATACTTAGGCTAGGTGTCTCTATATCTTTCTATTATATGAACGAGACCCGATAAGGAATACGCCTCCATATATAGATAGACTCCAATAAGATGTCATATAAAAAAATTCTACTCAATCGCGGCTGTTTCTTAATCATTTTAATGATATTGTTGCCAAATTCCATTTTCCATGATATCGCTTCCAAAATCTAAAAAAGTGGTGTCTGACAATAGACAGTGGAGACGTTAAACACGTCGAAAATGCAAACACCTTAACATATAGAACAGACAAACGTGCGCATATTACTTTGATACTTGTACACTGTCACGAAGGCATACTGCCATCACATACTGTCGCTGAAGGGGTCGTTGTCGTACCAGGCAGCGTTGCCATTTGGTGATTTCCGTCACCAAATTTGAAAATTTGGTGATTTTTGGAAAGCCTTGGTGACAAAAAAATGACTTGGTGATTTGGTGATTTTTTTTTAATTTTTGGTGATTTTTTTTTATTTTTGGTGATTTTTTGACGTTTTGGTATAAAAGTCAAAATTTCAGCTTTTTTTTAATTAATCAACTCTACAATACTGTACAGTTGATGTGTAGAAAAATTACGTCATTGACATTTCACCATATAGTTGTATACATTATATAATGTACCTCTATGCATTTCACATACACTTTTTTTTTATTGCCGAAATGAACAAAACGAACACGCTTTAAAATGTAAATAAGTTACATGTGGTCAATAACAGTCCTCAGTAAGCGCTAACATGGTGAAATATTGATATTTTTAAAACTTGGGTGATTTTTTGTTCCATTTGGTGATTTTTCATGTGCCTTTTGGTGATATTGTTCAGCTTGGACCTGGCAACGCTGGTATCAGGTACTACAGATATGTACCCGAGGTACATATATGTATACACAAAGTGTACCAGACTTGTACTACAGAAGTGTACCCTAACCCTAACCCTAGCCCTAACCCTAAACATACCTCATGTAAAAAGTTTCGTTCAAGGTTTTCGTCATTCGATTTGCCTTTTTCATTCCTTATTTACATTCTCGAAAGGATACGCCGGGTTTTCTTTGTCTCAACGTCAGACTCTGATGGGCGATAAAGTCGAGTATGCGCAGTATACGTGGCTTTTGACTATGATTGAAGTATGCACAGGAGTGGAAGAGGAAGAAAATAATTCTTAAACTATTTCAGTGTCATTCACCGTCGAGACCTTATTACAAAATTTCATTCACCCACAACAAAATTTCCTTATGTTTTTGGTCTAGTTTCATTCACCTCAAAATAATTTCATTTAATTTTACCCTTGGGTGAACCATACACCAGTTTAAGAAGTACTGTAGTACACTACACAGGCAGTCCTGCTGTGTAAATACACTGTGTATATTTTTTACCAGTACATATTTTTATTATTAGTATTCATTTATTATAAGTTTAATGTGCATCAGCGTATTATTTGTATCGTGCACCGTAGGACACGTTGGTCCTACGGGTCGTTGGTCGTGGGTAATTAAAAAAAATTTTAAAATTAAATTTAAAAAAATTTAAATAAAAAAAAAATGCATTAAAAATAAAAAAATTAAAAATTTAATCAAAAACTTAAATTAATTTTTTTTATAAAAAAAATTAAATTAACAAACAATTAAAGAAAAAAATTACGTGTGCCTGCGTGAACCGTAGGACCAGCGACCCGTAGGACCAACGACCACTGATCTCTATAATATAATCTATATTATATTATAGAGATCAGTGCCAACGACCCGTAGGACCAAAGAACTGTAATCGATACGACAACGACCCCATCTGCCATACTGTCGTGTACTGCGATCCGCAGTGTTGATCTGTCTATTTGATCAACTTTGTCTCTTTCTGTCTTCGATATAGTCCCTTGGGCTTTGAAGACTAATATTTACGATGTTACGAGTTTATTACACGCTGTACACTGTCAATCTTGTCTGCTGCGTGCTGTAATCACCTAGGGTTCTTAATATTAGTGTTAACTTTACGATGTTTTTGACAACGAACCCCAGGTTTATATAATAAAATTGCCCCTTTTCGGTCGATAAGTCACGACTCATTAACTAGCGATCGCTTTATATTGGACTTAAAATAGTTAATAAATACGTGTATATAGTAGTTATTTATGGTCCGTTCATAGGTATCGCTATAACGTTCAGTAAAGCTCATAGGGTCTATGTCCCCCAGGGTACTGCCGGAACAGACCCTGGGTACGGTCCGGTATACTGGAGCGTACCCTGGTAACTATCTAGCTGATATGGTTAGGGTTCGTGTTAGGGTTAGGGTTAGAGTTAGCGTTAGGGTTAGGGAGTAGGCGTAGGCGACTCCCTAGACTCATTAGTGGAGTAGGCGAGGTACGATCCGGCATATCAGATAGTAGTATTTAGTACCAGGGTACGTTCCGGTATACCGGTCCGTACCCAGGGTACGTTCCGGCAGTGGGGACATAGACCCTATCAGCTCCAGTAAATCCTGAACGAATATTTCGGAATCAAGTTATAATATCAAACTGATTTTTCAAGTATAGTTGCAATTAAATAAGTAAGGACGCTTAATCGTATCACATTGGCGCTTCTGACTTTGCATGTTTTTTACGCTATTAGTAATACATTGTAGTAATATTAGTCATTTATATTAATTATACGTAATATTATTACGTATCGGGATCGGTGTTATTAGTTTGGAATTTAGCCACCTCTCTATTATTCATCGTTTCCTTCTCCTTTCCCCGGCCACGCTAAACAGCTGCAGATGTGTTTCGTCGTATTATATAGGTTCGACAAGTCCTGTTACTTTTTATTCATTTAATTTAGATCAATTTTAACTGTAACAACACTTACAAGCATAGTGATATCGCTTGTTAACAATAAATGGCATATATATAAAAAATAAACGTATGACGGTAATGTATGTGGGAACAGCATACTTTATGCGATCATGAATAACGCATAAAAACCACCAAAACCACATTACGCAAAGCCAACGTTCCAAATTTGGGCAGATTTAATCTTGCACGCAATATTTTTGCTTGCATAAACTGCCGTGCTTAAATCGTGCACTCAAATTTCTACGAGTTTATGTTGACGTGATTTCGATAACGGCACGCTATGCGAATGAAAGCATGTTGTCTCTGATCAGATGTCTATGGACTAACATGACCAACGATCTGGGCAAAACGCGGTTGTACGACATTCGATGCTTTACAATCGCTCTCGCCGCTATGCATTGCAGCCGCAAGTGGAATTTCTGCTGCATCGTTTCGTGAATGCGCAAAATCATTGCGTGGATGTCATCGATGATCCAACTCGACGCCACATCACTGTATCGCCACCCGCTTCTCGTTTGCTTGTGCACGTCTAACCACAGATCGTAGGCGGTCTCCCCGGCGGCGTTCGTTATGTCCACCTCGCTCGTCACGGATAGCAGGTCGTGCAGGAGGCCTAGCAGTTCTATTCGCTTACTGTGGCCGTGCGTCGCGATCACCGTGGCCTGCCGACAGAGAAGGTGCAGAACGGTATCCCTGTTGGTGCACGTCGGCACGTACGAGTGGCCGCTGTGGCGGAGCAGCACGCGAGCTTTGTTGTGGAACCACTCCTTGCAGGCGACGTAGAACGGCGTGTGTTCGTGCATGTCGAGTGCGTTCGCGTCGGCCCCGTGCTTAAGTAATCTGTGTACGGTCCTCGTGTCGGCGCACCGACTCGCACACGCTCGGTGCAGCACCGTCCAGCCGCGCGCGTCGCACGCGTGTACGCTCGCTCCGCCAGCTAGCAGCAGCTTCGCGGCTGCCGCGTGCCCCATCTCCACGGCAGCGTGCAGCGGCGTCAGCCCGTTCACGTCCGTCACGTCCACGTCGGCGCCGTGCGCGAGCAGCAGCGTCACGTTGTCGTGGTAACCGCCGACGCATGCGCGATGCAGCGGTGTCTGGCCGTCGGCGGCGGCGCTGTCTGGGAAGGCTCCGTGCGCGAGCAGCATCGCGACGACCGACACGCGGTCGGTGCCGGCCGCCTCGTGCAGAGGCGTCCAGCCGCGCGCGTCGACGGCGTTGGCTCGCGCGCCGCTCGCGAGCAGACGCCGGACGGCGGCGCGACTGCGGTAGCGCGAGCGGCAGGCGACGTGTAGCGGTGTGCAGCCCGTCAGCGGGTCGCGCGGGTCGGCGCGCGCACCGTGCGCGAGCAGCGTGCGCAGCAGATAGTCGCTGCCCGTGTCTGCCGCCACCCTGACGGCAACATGCAGTGGAAAGTCGCCGTCGTCGGCGGCGACGTCGGCGCACGCGCCCGCGTCCAGCAGCTGCCCAGCGAGTCGCGCTCTCCCGCGCTCGCAGGCCGCGTGCAGGCACGTCTTGCCGCCGCACCGTGACGTCACGTTCGCGTCGGCTCCGTGCTTCAGCAGCAGCCGCACCATCTCCGCGGCGCTGTCGTCGTCGTACGCGTCGCAGGCATAGTGCAGCGCGCTGCAGCCGTGCGAGTCCAGCACGTCGGGCTTTACACCTTGACAGAGATTGATACCGACCAGCTCCACATCCTCGGTCCTACAGGACTCGAGCAGAGAACACTCACCCAGACCGGTGCTGTCAATGGGAAAGCCAAACATGCCAAATATCTGACCCATGCCGGAGTGTTACACGAGGCACCACGAAGGCAGGAGCCTGAAAGAAAGGACAGCATAATAGGTCGGAAGGTAAAAACCACGTGCTATCCTCCAACGTTTGTAAACATTTCGCTGTGTAACGTTACGATCATACAAGGCAATCCACCACGCTCTGTTACGCGTCAGTGACTATTTTATGCAGTCTATAGTAAGGTTAGCCAGTAGAATCTAGATGCTTGATGTACGGGACGGAAAAACAAAACTAACGCGACTCGTTAGAATAATAGTGCACCAGACTACCTTGAAGCTGACAGATGCGCAGTGTGTATTTATCTGTACGTACACGTCGCCAAGATAACCGAAAGCCAAAGTGCACCATTAAACAGACACCAGTTGACGTATCGTTATCAGTATATTTATTGATCATTCACATTATGAAATATATCAGTGTGACAAATTATATGTATCTATTTTCACACAGTCCTACCTGTAAACAGAAATAAATGTTCCGGCATTAATAAAACACCTGAATTATCTCAAATGCAATAAGTCTAATGTGTAGAAATTTGAAGAATAACAGAAACAAAATTAGCTAAACATGTAAGTCATCAGAATTAAGTTTAAGGTTTTTACTTGAAGTTTGCACCCGACTTACAGAGTAGGCTCATTATATGGAAATGATACTACACAATGTGCTGAACAATTTCATCTATCCTAACCATTTTATTTTAAAAAGTAGTTATCACATTTATTTAAATGCTTTTTCACCTATAAACGGACTAAGCGTCCAAGCAATTCGCATTCAATACTTTTAACATCGGGTACAACATCAGCGGCAAAACAAAGTTGTCAATCTGTTCGGTGAAACCCTCCAGCAACGAAACTGCAACGATCGGAAATGCAAATCTCGTCGCTTCTGACAGCGCGATGCCTGGTCGACAAACCCAAGCTACCACACAGACGCACGTCATCTGTGCAACGGCAGCCAACGTTGTTCCTTCCACAGTCTTGCTAGTGCCCGGCCACCGCATCCTTCCCAGCTTCGAGCCGCCGACGGAGGCCACGGTGTCGCCGACCCCCACCGCCAGGAGGCCGCTGACGAGCTCAGGCGTGCACAGGCCTGCCACCTGGTGGTCACTGAGGAAGAGCGGCAGCGCGCAGCCGACGAGCAGGTGGATGTGGCTCAGTACGACAGCGCCGTCCTTCTCGTCGCGAAACGCGTCCAGGCTTCGTCGCAGGGCTTCGCCGACGGGCGGGATGCAGAGCGCTCGCACGCACTCGGCTCCGACAAACAGGAAGAGCGCGATTCCCGCCGCCAGCCTCGTCAGCTGCAGGTCGACGCACACGCCGGGCAGGAATATCGCGATCGCGCACAGGTGGAAGTACTTTCGCACTGCGGTCGTGACGCCGCGAATTTCCTGCTGAAAATTTGCTGCGATCGCCCCCGCAGCTACGGACGCGGCAAACCAGTATGCGATCAGCGCCGGTTTGATTTTGTCACTCACTATGTACTCAAACAGCCAGAGAAACGGGAACCTGCCGAGAAGAACCCATAAGAGCGGCACGACGACGAAACCTCCGACCGCAGCAACTATGGCGAAGAAAATTCGAAAGTTCCTCGCCGGGTTAAACACGGTCAGCAACAACACGATGCACACGGCTCCGAGCAGCAGCATCTGATTGAAAGCTGCGACGTCGCTGAAAGAGCACGCGCCGCCCCCCGCCTCGCCGCGGTGGCCGCCGACTCGACATGCGAAATTCGTCGCAGCCGAGCACAGGGCGACGACTAGACACTGTGAAACGACGACGACCTCGCCCAGTGTGAAGCTCTGTGCGCAGACGTGCGGCAACGCGTGCACGAAGAACAGGAACAACGCGGCGGCCGCGGTCACGGCGCCGCCCTGCAGCGCTCTCGTCGCAACGCTCCCCGCATTAGGTCCATTCACCAGCGATAGTAATATCGCACAACCGGCCGTGACGGCAAACTCCACTGTCAGATTCTGCAATGCCGACCCTCTCTTCACACCGCATCGCGACGAAACTTTGACGACTGCCGCCGCGGCGCAGGTTACCACAAGGAATTCGGCCGATACCGGCGACGTTCTCGCGAAGCTCGTGTTTCGGAGGCAGATTGGCAGCAGCGTGAAGCACCAATCTCCGTCGTCAGCGTCTCTGTACAGCTGTGGCTTGTCCGGAGTGGCACGTCTTCTGTCCGGCACCAGTAACGAAGAAACAGCAAGAAGTGCCCATGGAGCGAGCAAGTACAAGTAGGTGGCAGCACTCCAGCTGGGATCGTGGTACGATGTGTAGAGCACACACAAGAGCACGACGGTTGCTTCCAACACTTGCCGAGCACATACTACACGTAACAGCATCATCGGTAGCAAAGTAACTCTAATCAACAATGCTATTGACCTCTTAGCCAATGTTGGGAATTTTTACTCTGAAAGAGAATGCAGAAATCATTCCAATGGATTGCTTTAAATGTGTGTAATAGCGAGTCATTTCACCAATAGATTACTACCATAAACACAGGTATAAAAAACAACTGCTTTGTAGGACACAATTTTTTAACAAATTTGACAGATTTATTAGCTCAATGTATTACATGAACGACAATCAACTCTTTAATCTTAAGAAAATATCTCAGTTACATTTCCTAATAAAATAGGTTTAGCAGAACATTGCCAAAATATACAAGGTATTTGTGAGTAAACCATATACCATCACGAACAGTATGAAGGTACAAATGATTGTATCCAAATACAAAATACAGTGCGTTATATATACTGTTTAACCACTTTTAGCATCCACAAATACAGTAAATGTGCTTAGGGACGTAAGGAATTTACATAACACAGAAGCATTTTCTGATCAAAATTAGGTACTGATAAAAGTATTCATGTTAAAACATCAAACTGTGTCTATTTAAACCTGTCGAGATTTTCATTTTTCAGCTTCCTCGTGCATCACTTCCGTAAACAAACAGATACGTCTTAGGACTTCTCGTCAATCTTACTCGTGCTCGGTTGCTGTGCATCAGGATCCTGACCCTGCGAGTTAGAGACACCATCTTGCTGAGGAACATCATCCTTCCTCTTCTTCAATGCTTCTAGCTTCGCAGTCTTCAGTCCCTGATAATAACCAGTATGGTAGCCAGACATGTACCAAGAGATTAGCATGCTAGAGAGTACATCGTTATCAATATCACCTCCCTCAGGCACCGATGGTATTGGTGGGGCTGGTGGAATAAATTCGGCACTAGTAAAGAGCGGATATGCACCCGAGAGTCCCTGTGAGAAGGGAGGCGGCATGCTGGTACCTGGTATAGAAAAGGGGAAGGGCATGCCACCTCCAGGAAGGAAGAAAGGGGGAGGCATCATCGAAGCAGAAGGAGGACACATCAGTGGTGGTGGCCCATGGAAGTTGGGGAACAGAGGACAGTCGGCATGTGGGGATAGTGGATGTGGGTGAGATTGTGGCGCATGTGGCCTATTATCATCGTGATGACGATGACGATGATGATGATGATTTGATACTTGTGATTGCAATCGGGAAGAGTCATGCCAGTCCATGTTTGAAGATGCTTGACTATCATATCCATTTTCGATGGACTCTTGTTGTGACGACTTGTATGCATTCCTAGGCAAGAGGTCTGAGAGCACCATCTCTTCTTCATTACCATAGCCAATAAAGCGTACCGTACATACGGTGTAGTCAGTGTCAATGTCTACTATCAGAGCTTCATACCACTGCTCATCCTCTGAGTAAACGGCCAGACACTTATCCCCGATTTGCCACCTCCTTCTTGCTTTAAAATTCTTCTTGCTCGACTTGTTTTTCTTCTGCTTTTTCTTCTTGTTTTTTTTGCGATGCTTTGGAGTGAGCCTACCTTCAGATTCACTTCCTGCCCTTAACGTTGGATTTGTTCCTGTCATTTCATCTTTGAATGCATTTACTGCATGATCGTATGCCTTGATGAGTGCTGTGTCATCCCAGATGTCACTCTCACAACTCTCTTCCTCAGTGTGCTTTCTGTCGTAGACAACCGCTGCCTGAGATTTAGCCATCTTTTACAGCAAACTGCCCTGCACTGAAAAGACAAACTTGAATGCATACAGGTGCACTTATAGTTCAGGGTTCTCCCCAAGCATTTAACACGTCGGGTTCGACACATCTTCAAAGCTGAAGCTATATGACGGCATCCCATATATCCTCCGACATGCCTTAATTGCCTAATTTACATGCCTTGATTGCCTAATCCACATATGCCTTAGTTTCCAGTTGTGTTTACTTTTGAAAATCCCAACACATTTATGCTGTTTTCACAGCTTGATGTTTATGTCTGCGAACTAATCAAGTTTACCTGTGCCTTGGGGACGCTCCCGACACGCATAATTGTCTCCAAATATGACAACCCCCTCCCCCCCGGGCCCTCCCCTATCCAACCATGAATGACATGTCTTCTGAAATTCCTAGGGAGGACCCTGCTGTTATGCCTGTTATGCTTCAAACTGTCAATAACTGACATTGACTATGTACAACAACTAATGAGACTGTCGGAGTGCAAATTAACAAATTGCCTCCCAGTGCACACAAGCAGAAATTGTGTCATACCTTTCGCAAATATAAATCACTCACCAGATGGCAGCAACAATTTGTGTCAGTGCTGCATGAGCACGAATATAGTAATATAGTCTCTCGGTAGAATCTTGAGAATTTTACAGTGTAATGATGATATCTTGTGTTTAGGGGAAGGTCTAAACTGTTATTGAATACATCGGATGTATTGATATATGTATTTGTATATATATGATTATGTATTGATCACATATTTTGCTATTATTTTTTAGGGAGACCAATCCTATGCAATAGAACCAGAGTGTCGTACTCTGGTGGATGTGGCAAGTGTGAAGTGCTGTGAATAATCAGTCCATGTATTTATATACATACAGAAGTAATACTACTCCCCCAGAAGAGGAAGAAGTATCATCATAACCACGTATCATTAACATCTTTAGTCGCAAGTGACTGTCTTGCTTATCAAAGTGCGACTAGACATGTAATGGTTTTTTGCGAAGGTATATAAGCCTCGTCTACACGACGAACCTTAACTCGAGTTAAGCTAACTCGAGTTAAGCGTTAACTCGAGTTAGCGATTATGTAGCGTCTACACGACAACACCCGATAGCGATTATTACCGATTTATTATGCATGCGTGCGTGCGTGCGTATGTAAACGTGTGTGCGTGCGTGCGTGCGTGCGTGCGTGCGTATGTAAACGTGTGTGCGTGCGTGCGTACGTGTGTACGTACACGTGCGTTCGTGCGTGCGTGTGCACGTACACGTGCGTGCATGCGTGAGTGCGTACATGTGTGCGTGCGTGCGTGTGCATGTACACGTGCGTGCATGAGTGTGTGCGTGCGTGTGCAAGTACACGTGCGTGCGTGCGCGCGTGTGCAGGTACACGTTCGTGCGTGCGTGCGTGCGCATGTGCACGTAGGCATGCGTGCAAGCGTGCGCACGTACACGTGCGTGCATGAGTGTGTGCGGGCGTGTGCAAGTACGCGTGCGTGCGTGCGTGTGTACGTACATCGTACTAGTGCTGCCGCCTATCGTGGAGGTTAAGCTAACTCGAGTTAACGCTAACTCGAGTTTCCTTAACTCGAGTTTCCTTAACTCGAGTTAAGGCCCCGTGTAGATGCTTAACTCGAGTTAAGGTTCGTCGTGTAGACGTAGCTATAGTATATACTAATAGTGCTGTAGAGCCTGATTGGGCTTAGGCCTGAATGGCTGTGATACTAAACGTCCATATGCATGATGGTCTTGCAATAAATTACAGTTTTTTGAAGCAATAGGGAAGATCGCACGTGTCAAAAGCACTAATCACGCTCAGACGATCGAGTGCAACGAACAGACTTCATGAAGCAAGAGGGCATGCCAATCTTCGCCTGACCATGACAAATTTTATGAAACGTTCCAAGTTTAGCATGGAGAAAGAGGACATAAAGAGGAGGCCAATCAAGTTAACCAAAACAACATCAGAACTATCATGATAGATGTTGGAAACACATTTCGCAGCTTTATGCTGAATGGCATCCGATTTAACAGTTCTTAAGTGTATTATTTATAATAGGGGCACCAGCCTGGCGATGCATATTCTAACATGGGGAGAACCATAGGCATAGTTTTAAAAGTCGGGCCATAATAAAAATATTGTTTGTTTGCCCTCAACCGACCGACCCGCGATGAGAAAAGACGATGACAAACTGTTATTAAGAAAGAATGATATATTGTCCGTCGAAGTGTCCGACAAACTTACAGACACAGGTGCACGTACAGCAGAGAGAGAGCACAACCACAACTACAGCTGATGCTGGGACCAGCAGTGTCAATGCGTTTCAGCTGTTGATGGATGCGGCGATGCGCACAAGACCAGCAACCCTTAGCGACCAGCGGAGCTGCTTACTAAATACAAAGTGGTCCTACCTCTCTGTCGAAATTGTGTTAGGCAAAAATGTGACATACCAAAGAGAAGCCCAATGAAATAGGCCGTATATATTGTGGCGGGTGTATCACGGCGCCCCTATGTACTATGTCCTACAGGTCCTACATGTGTTATTAAGTTTGTTGTGTTTTCGAGTTAGTATTATCTAATTGTTCACTGTTGAATAAAAAAAAAATTGTTATAGTTCATGTTATTCAATCCATGGTTTCATTTGTGGTTTACTTCTACATTGTTGCAGGTGTCAGATCAGCAGACTGCAAAGGATAATTAAAATACCATTTGCATGTAGATATTTCAAACAGGGATAACACAACAAATACACAAAAGAAAGACTAATAATAATATTAGTAATATATGATTGAAAAATTTCATCGTATCTCTATAGTTCACAGGAAAACAAAGTTAATCTGAGTTAGATCCATAATAAAGTTATTTGGATAATTTTGATAATAAATTACTTTATTATGGATCTAACTCTGACATATTAACTTTATTTTCCTTTCCAAAGACTAATATGTGCTAAGAAGATATTTATTATTTCTTAATTCAGGTTCCTTTTATTTGTAATGCTTTTATTTCCAGATTACGTGTATGTGTGCGTGCGTGTGTGCGTGTGTGATCTGGAAATAAAATCATGTACAATTTAGCTCTGATGAACACAAGTTGTTAAAAGTATTTTATATGTATATTGTATCACTGTACATTATATAAATCTGTAGGCAAACATAAAAGATATCTCCACACAAGCACACCTGAGCACGTAGAGACCATGCTGAATTTGTAAAAAGACCCCCCTCGGAAAAAAAAGGGAAAAAAAAGCCGACCTACCTACCCAAACTTTTCAGCCTGGGTCGGGGGAGGGCAAACAAACAATTTTTTAATTGTGGCCTAAGCGTGCAACAGTGGAGCCGCGAAAGCAATGGCGGCTGGCAGCGTAGGATTTTGGTAGCGTTGCACGTAGGATTTGGACGGAATTTACAGGAAACTGTCGGCAATAATAGGTGAAAGAGAGTATAGAAACATTAAGAATAGTTATTAGTATAGTATTTAGTTAGCATTATATTTTATTGAAACGCTTCAAGTGCCTGTGCCTGTGGTGCCGGCAGCATATGGTTGGACGTAGGATTTGGACGGAATTTACAGGAAACTGTCGGCAATAATAGGTGAAAGAGAGTTTAGAAACATTGAGAATTTGGTAGTAAATAGATTTCGTATTTAGTTAGCATTATATTTTATTGAAACGCTTCAAGCCTAGCACAGGCACTTGAAACGTTTCAATAAAATATAATGCTAAATAAATACGAAATCTAATACTAGTACTACAAAATTCTTAATGTTTCTATACTCTCACCTATTATTGCCGACAGTTTCCTGTCAATTCCGTGTAAATGCTGTATGCACACACACTAACGCCGCCATTGCTCACTGTGCACAGTGACTGTTAATATATATAGCAGGTAGGAAAGCGCTCGACTCCAATCCGCTCGACGCTCGATGAATTTCACACGATTACAAGACAAAGACACAACTATTCTACTCCATCTTTGTTTCAATTTCAACAGCAGTGTTCACTTGTTAGAAATATAGACTGTCTCTGTTCGTAACCGAGCTCTGTCACGCGAAATCACAAAAACACTGGCGAAATTCGAGCGTTCGCTAACGTTGCGCGGTCAATGTAAATGTCTGCCGGAATCAGGAAACACCTAGCGGCGCTATTGCGTCATTCGTGCGCCGCAACGCTGCAACGTTTTTGCAACGCTCCAATGGCGAGGCTCGTACGGGGAGGTGGAAAGCAGCGTGGTGCTTCCCAAAATGCAATGCGCCGCCTATAGCCATGTACTTGCAGACATTTACATTGACCGCGCAACGTTCGCGAACGCGAGAATTTCGTCAGTCTTTGTGTGATTTCGCGTGACACAGCTCGGTTACGAACAGAGACATTATGTTTTTATAACAAGTGAACACTGTTGTTGAAGGAGAAACAAAGATGGAAGCTGTTGGATTTGTATTCGTGCTGTGAAAGTGTGAAATCAAGCGAGCGTCGAGCGAATTTTGCGATCCGGCTTTCCTACCTGCTATAGTATATATATAATAGTGTGAGCGTGCAACAGTCGCGCCGCGAGAGCAGTGGCGGCTAGCAGCGTACGTTGGACGTAGGATTTGGACGGAATTTACAGGAAACTGTTGGCAATAATAGGTGAAAGAGAGTAGGCCTATAGGCTATAGAAACATTCGTATTTAGTTAGCATTATATTTTATTGAAACGCTTCAAGTGCCTGTGGCTGTGACTGTGTCAGTGTGTGCTAGGGCCCATGGCCATTGGCATTGATCCGCCCACGCCTACTAGTTTAGTACCCCGGATTAGTTTAGCACATAAATTATGAGAAAACACATTTGCGGGGTCTCATCTTGGTTGATAATGATATGCTATCTACCTATATTACAAATATCAAAACGCCTTAATACCTACTAAACATAGAATTCCGTGTGAACAAGAAGGTAGACAACACAATACGCAAAACTGTTCGCTGTCGTTCGACTCGTGTCATGCGCGTCACCTAGCGGCTACAATAGTAAACATGAAATGTCCGCGCGATCTAGTTCTCCAACCCGAAATAGCTATGAATTAAGGCGTTAGAGATAATTGATTGTCGTGTAAAATGACTATGTGTTAATTTTGCGAGTTTGTTAATAATATAAAATAGCACTGTTTGTTGGTAATTGTTGTCCTGATTTGTGTATTTATTATCGGCTCGATATTGATTGATTGTTGATTATTGATTTAGATCATTATCGAAGCGTACATATTTGACTCGTCATGACAAAACAACAGACAAACTAAAATAATAGTCATAGTTGCTCTTGCATATATATATATATATAATGTACGTCAATTATTGTTTTATTCAAACTAGCAACGTCATACGTTGTTCTATTCGAATTATCAAATCTATCTGAAAATCCATCAATCACATTAAAATTAATCATTCGCAAACTTCATCAATATCGCCCCTTGCCCTATCACTCCCCCTTCTCTCGCACTCCTCCGCACTTGTACTCTCTCTTCTTCTTTCTCTCTCTCTCTCTCTCTCTCTCTCTCTCTCTCTCTCTCTCTCTCTCTCTCACACTTTCTCTCTCTCTC